TGATATATTGGTTTGTTAAATTGTATATGAAAATTGTAGTGTGACAAGGATGTGAAAAATTCCGTTAGAGTATACTAATGTTTATGAATTTTTACTAATATTTGTATCCTTGAATTTAGTCAATATCATTTAAATACAAATTAATAAGATCACTTAGCTTGTTGGGACGAAAACCCCGATAAGACAACGAAAATTATTATTCAGGTTATGGAATCATTTAACTCTATTACAAGACATTCTCAATAGGTCCATCGACCGTACTTGAAGTATCTTGTTGTAATCTACTAAATTTGGTGAAAACATAGGTTGTGAGATCGCGTAAACCGCGATTTACACACAAACAAGTTTTTATGATTTGGGTAAATCTTTTTACTATAGTTACCAAAACCATCTCACACAAAAAGGACTAATGCTTTTATTCATATATCACGCATTTGTAGATCGCGCTTCGACCGTTCTAGTTAATGAATTCTGAAAATATTATCACGTGACCTGTATTGTTGGTTTTTATGATTTTAAAGTCCCTATTTGCTGATTAGGCAAACTCAAAAAAACTTCTTAATTCTTAATCAGAATCATTTGAAATAACGAGGAAGCATTTCTGTGGCTCCTGAAATAGGCTGAACATGGCAATGCTTTCGGCAGAACGAACTCAGAATCATTACAATGAGAAAATGGGGAACCACTCAAGACCACGGGAAAGCATCCTTAGAAACTTATCATATATTTAATTTAAACTGCTCGAGAAAGCATTCTACTAATATCTAAAATCGGTAGAAGGAACACACGAAATCACGTGAAAGCATTTCACTGATATCCTAAATATTTGATATCACCTTGAATATTATTCCATTATGGATCAAAGCCTTCAAGATCACGAAATGGTACCTTAAATCTACTGGAAGCGAATATATGGCCGAACAAAGTCAACTTGAACATCATTATCATTATGGGGTTTGAACCATTCAGGATTATAAGAAATTGCTTCAATGTTGCCAATATCGGGTGAATATGAAGCTACGACTAGACAGAATCAACTTGAGATGCTGTTGCCATTATGAAATTGGAACCACTCAAGATCTCTAGAAAGCATTTCACCGATACTTGAAATCTGTTGAAGGCGAGAATATAATTGAACGGAATCAACTTGGATATTAATCAATACTGAATTGGAATAATTAGAAGGCACTTTGTCAGTACTTTAAACTGGAAAAAAAGGTGACAATTCCACTGGACAAATAATCTCGAATGTTATTGTTGTTGTTATGAAATTGGAGTCACTCTAGATCGTAAGAAAGCATTTTACTGGTGTCAGAATCGACCGAAAGTGTGGATGCTGATGACGAAATAACCTTGGAACTTATTATTCATATGTATAGTAATTGGAACAACACAAGATTATGAGAAAAGATTTCGCTAACCCTTGAAATTGACCAATGCGGAGATACTACCTATCAATAAACCTTGAATATCGTTAACCTTATGAAATTTGAGATATTATTGATTTAAAGGTCCACGTTATTTAGATAATGCGTGTCCGTGTAGTATGAATTTATAATGTTATATTAAATAGAATTCTCGGTTACATCTTTATTCTTACATTAATGTAATCAATTTTGTGCTACTTTATGCCTTCAGTTTGGATTTAAGTCCTATACTGTAACTAACCGATTAATCGATGCACGTATACATATACTGCCATACTAGAAGATCAAAGATTCCGAAAAAAAAAAATGAAAAAATATTTTATTCATTTTACTGTATGTCCACTAATTATTGTGAGTGTGCGGTATTTGTGTGAAATAAAAAATTTTTAAATGATAAATAAAATTAAATAAATAAACAGTACCAAGGTTTCATCATTATCACCTATTTTTACACCTTCATTCTAACTTCCTTTTTTAAATAAAAAGATAAACATATTCCCTATATATTATTCATACCCATTTGAATTGATTTTATACCAAAATCAAATGATATAAATATTGATTTCAATTTATGAAACACATTGAGGTCAGGCGGATACGTACTGTATTCCTTGGCTTTTGCCGCAAATTACCGCATATTGATGTACGAGAATTCAATCACTTGAGCAAAGTAGGTTTTATTCTATGTGAAGAGGCCTACTGTAAAAATAATTATTTGATCAGATCATGATAGGATCAATTCAAATACTGTACCTAATGCTACTTCAATTTCTATTAATTATTAGACCCAAATATGGCCCATAAGAAAATTGGATAGTTAACAAAGGTGGGTATACGTATGTAATAAGAGACGCAAAATTACTACGTACTTGCCATTTTATTTATTGGGGCAGACCGGAAATGGTGAACAAGGAGTAATTATGACGCGGTGATAAATTTGCTACGGACAATAATAAAATGTTGCGCATTAATTATACTGTATATAAGAGGTCAAGTATAAAAGAAAAACGAAATGAAATTGTTATGCAATTTAATAACAACATATTCCATTGATTCCATCTTAATAATGGTTTTCACTCCACAAATATCTCAGTGTGGCTATTGTTTGTGCAGTGCGAAATGGCGAAGAAAAAGATTTAAGATCCCATCAAGACTGAATGGAAGACATTGGGCTGCTGTGATACTTATAAAATGGTTTTACGGAAGACATATGGGTTACAAAACTTTAAAAGAAGAAAGTACCAGGTCATAAGGCTTAATTTTCATGATCATTGATATGCAGTATAGCAGATTAGGTGAAATATTCTAATGAATATTTTCATTGTTTCCTAATATTAATTAGGCTTTTCTTTTTTTTTTTTTTTTTGAATTGTAATTGTTCCATCCTGGTCGCAGGTATAAAACGGAATTTTTTCTTTGTTCCTGACTGCTAACTTCAAATAGAAACATCACAATGATTCTTCTCAATGACCGAATATCGATATATTATCTATTGAGAATAAATTGTTTAACCACATACTAGGATCTTTAATTACCAAATTGTTAATATAAAATCACCAAGAGGATATACAGTATTCATGCCTACTTTGTTTACAATGACGGATATTTTTGAGTTTGATTCCGAGAAGCCTCTATTTTTCTAAAACAATGACAAATAGTTCATATTCTTCCAGAGATCTCCTTTAACAATCCTTTTGGTTCGATTGTAGAGAATTTTTAGCGTAATGACACAATAAATCAAATTCAAAAGGCCTTTATAGGCGCAGACAGACGGTCAAATGACTGGTTTATGAATAATTGGCCATTATGCGTAGTTAGATGGCGCATGCGTTCATTGACATATAATGTATTATAAAAAAATTTTTTTTTTGGTAATCCAGTAAATTCTGTTTAGAAGTCGGAATTTTTTTTACCTAATCGCCGATCAAAATCGATTCTTAAAAACAAAAAATTTTTCAAATTATTTACTGTTAAAAATAAATAACATCTGGAATTCAAATATTAAATTTACAATGTGCGGTAAAACATCTGGTGGATCCACTTCTCCATAACTAATCCAGGCCATGAAGGGAGAGAAATATCATTAGTGCCGTAAAATACGATCTCACGATAATTAAGAGCACGTACAATATAGACGTTTAAGTGTCGCGTAAAGTATATCCAAGTTTCGCTTTGCATAACCGAGTTCATCCAAGTTTCACGCAAACCCTTTTATTTTTGCATGATTACCCCTGGCCAGCAATCTTAACGAATTAATTGTACTGTAAATCTGAAACTTACTTGCAATGCAAAATAGAATTCGGTTAAATCTGTAAATAAAAATAAACCTTTTTGATCTCCATGATACACTGTTCATCAATAGTGTGTTAACGCGTCTGCTTGCACAACACAGGTTAGGTTAACATAATATTCGGAATGCAAGCACAAGGGGAAGCGAAAAATAAATAAATGGAATTACTTACGTGATGATTTGTTCAAATCTTTCAAATCGACAAAAAAATAATTGTTAGAAATCAGATACTAATTTCAATAAAGTTAATCGTGGAGTCGTAAACTTGAAACAAATAGTCATATACCATCACATTTGATCTCAGGTCCAAAAAAAAAAAAAAAAAAAAAAAAAAATACAATAATTATGGTCTGGCTTTTTTTTTACTTTCCGATTTTTCGAATCAAGTGAATCCAATATCTGTTAGGTCAATAAAATTTAAACTAGAAAAGAACCTACCTTATTTATTATCTGAAATTCATGTCAATTTCAACGTTGAGCCAACATTTTTATTAGAGTTGAAAGTTCGACTACAATGTACACACTCGGATGTCTCGCGACAAACGAACGCATACATTGTAGTCGATAATGGCAATACCAGCACATTTAGAAAGCCTAAAAAACTCCGAGCTAGGAATTATCGCTTTATTTATTTATTCTGTTACATAAGGGCGCAACTATATGCGCTAGATCTTTTTTTTTTTTTTTTTTTTTTGATTTTTTTGATTTTTTTTTTTTTTTTTTTTTTTTCTTGGATTTTTTTTTAAAGGTCACTTAAGATGTTGCTTTGAAGCAGGTGCAATCTAGTAATAAAATGACGTTATATCGAAATTGTGAAATAAAACATAATACACCAAATTCACCAAATTGGCGAAGGATACAGATAAAGATAATATGAACAATCTTTGATTGAATAAATGACATAAAAATAAATAGATAGAAGACGGAAATATCGTAATGAGTTTCGATACGAACCCGTAATAAATAAATACATACATATATATATATATATATAATTTGCTCGAAATTAATATAAAGTAAAATAAATTCTTGATAACATAAGTCCACCCGAAAACTGAAAGATATAATTGGTAATATAAGCATCTAAAAATCAAATCACGAAAAAACGCGAAATTAGATTCATTTCAAACTTTGTAACATAATAAATCACATACGCTACCTGCTAAAATGTTTTCATAAATACTCTAGTTTCTGTAACAATTATATTCTTATTAGCCTCGCATCGATATGCACTTGCAAAAAGAATTACATCAGGAAGTGAACCTTTAAAAAAAACTTCACGTTTAAAGAATAGCATTATTTCTCAATTTTTTTCTTGCTTGTTTGATCGTTGAGTCTATTTGATTTCTCTTGCCATTTTTAAACTGAGATTCATCAAGTTCGTCCATAAAAGTTTCTAAATGCTGCCTGAACTCTTTTGTTCCAAGAGATCTATCGTTAGATACCATCAAATGATCCTTCAAATTTGCAAGGAGTCCAAACCATGCTTCTGACATGCTGTCGAAAACTTCTGACTCGGATGCCCTATAATCTTGTTTCGAGGGAGGGCTACTATAATTACAGTTAATAGGAGATGTTATGTTTCCTTTTGTTTCCTCATTTTGACCCTCGACATTTTGGTTGTTGGTGGCGTTACTGAACGGAATATTTGGATCTTCGATCTCCATATAATCAATGATCTTCATTTTGAATAATTTTGGCAGAAATCTCTTAAACAGTGGACGGAGAATATCCTCGTGAGTCGCTTGAGACAAGCGCAATACGTGTCTTTGCTGAAAAGGTACACCACCCTCGCAGTATAATTTCCAGATGTTTAATGCAGCCTCATACGAACATTTTGTCCACCCATCAGGTATTTCGGCGTTTGGTTCTTGCGCAAGCTGTCTATCGATGCTAATCCGAGTTTTAAGAATATCATCAAAACAGAATCTCGTGATTTCGGCGTCAGCTCCAAAGGTTTTTAAAACCCAATTGTAAAATTTAGGTAATAGTTTCAAGGAGGTTTTGGAATTTTCGAAGCCTTCATCACAATCGTTGTTCGATGTCTCTTCTCTGTGGTTCATATATTTTTCTGGGATCTTGTCATCTGTGTTGTTTAGCGATTCTTCCGCGCGTCTCATATAATTTTCGTGGATGCCATCATTCGTGATGTTTGATCCTTTTGTGTGTTCCAAATATAATTTCATCGCTTCCAAAAACGCTTTCTCCTGATAGTCTATCTTACTGATCTTCTGTGCATTTCCTTC